CTGAAAAGTAAAGTCTTTCTTTTTGTTCAACTCTTAGCGTCTCTTTGACTTGCGCCGGATGTGCTGTGAAGTTTAACTTGTTTGTCTAAAGTTCACTTGCGGTGGGAGCGTCATGGGTTTGAACTAGTTATGAGAGTCCTGTTTAAGGTAAAGGTAAAGGGACCCCTGACCATTAGGTCCAGTTGTGGCCGACTCTGGGGTTGTGGCGCTCATCTCGTTTTATTGGCTGAGGGAAGTACAGCTTCCGGGTCATGTGGCCAGCATGACTAAGCCACTTCTGGCGAACCAGAGCAGCACACGGAAACGCCATTTACCTTCCTGCCAGAGTGGTACCTATTTATCTACTTGCACTTTGATGTGCTTTCGAACTGCTAGGTTGGCAGGAGCAGGGACCGGACAACAGGAGCTCACCCTGTCGCGGGGATTTGAACCGCCGACCTTCTGATTGGCAAGTCCTAGGCTCTGTGGTTTAACCCACAGTGCCACCTGTTTAGCTTAGCCTAATTGGCTTGTCCAAGAGAAGAGCTCTTTTCAAAGGGCATTGATCCAGGAACTCTGGTCCTGCAAACTGTACTGTGTTTGTCTCAACTTGCAGTGGGATATATTAGCTAATTGAACACCCTTATTAATTGTGTAGGTTATCTCTGGCTATCTCCGGGTAAGTGTGCATAGGGCTGGCCCCTGCCTCTTCCAGTAGTTAATTTCTAAAGCAGGAGTTGCTGGGGCTCAAGCTGGACATCACATCTTTTGACTGAGTACCCTTTCTGTTTAATTCACAAATGTGGGAAGGGTGATTAAAGCTACAGAGCACTGCTCTGTGACTGGTCTTCTTAAATGGCATCTCATGAGTCAGAGCTGAGCCCTGGAATTTATAAACAAAAACCAGGTTCTGGGGTCAGTGTAAACCTTGCACTCTGCTTCTGCTCAGAGATTATCTTCTTAATTTGCCCCACTTATCCCAGAGATGGACATTGGCACTAAAAGCAAGAGCCGCTGCAGATCCCAAGCTCTCAGTTCCAAAACTGTTATTCTAGTTCATTGATCTGTGGCTGGATTTGCCAGCTACACTAAGGGGACTTTTCCTCAAATTATTTCACCCTCTAGCCCAGGCTTCCTCAACCTCGGCCCTCCAGATGTTTTTGGCCTACAACTCCCATGATCCCTAGCTGGCAGGACCAGTGGTCAGGGATGATGGGAATTGTAGTCTCAAAAACACCTGGAGGGCTCGAGGTTGAGGAAGTCTGCTCTATCCGATAGATAAAATACTCAGGCATTTGAAACGTCTCCCTGAGAAATGCCAGCCTTTCTGAACTGGAATTCCCTCAAGTTGTTCCTGAAATAAAATGACATACAGTGGTACCTCGGGTTACATACACTTCAGGCTACATACGCTTCAGGTTACAGACTCCGCTAACCCAGAAATAGTACCTCGGGTTAAGAACTCTGTTTCAGGATGAGAACAGAGACCGTGTGGCGGCGGCGCAGCGGCAGCGGGAGGCCCCATTAGCTAAAGTGGTGCTTCAGGTTAAGAACAGTTTCAGGTTAAGAACAGACCTCCGGAATGAATTAAGTACTTAACCTGAGGTAACCTTAGGTACCACTGTACTTAATTCGTTCCGGAGGTACGTTCTTAACCTGAAACTGTTCTTAACCTGAAGCACCACTTTAGCTAATGGGGCCTTCTGCTGCTGCCGCTGCGCCGCCGGAGCATGATTTCTGTTCTCATCCTGAAGCAAAGTTCTTAACCTGAAGCAGTATTTCTGGGCTAGCGGACTCTGTAACCTGAAGCATATGTAACCTGAGGTACCACTGTACTTAATCCGAGGTACCACTGTAATCAGTTATATTTTAACTTGAAGCCCGCATGCCAACTTTTTATATTTTAACTTGAAGTTTATATTTTAACTTGAAGCCCGCATGTCAACTTTTTGAAGGTCCACAACCTGGGTCTTGTCACTCAGATGCAGTGGCAAGTGTCAACAGCAAAGGTGAAGGAGAAAGAAGCATTTAAAACCCCCAATCTCTGTTCACACCTCAGGGCAAGAGGGAAGGACAGTTCTCTTGTCTTGCCAATGACCCTTAATGGCCCTGTTTTGTTGTTGTTGTTGTTGTTTAGTTGTGTGGACCAGAGCACGCCAGGCACTCCTGTCTTCCACTGCCTCCCGCAGTTTGGTCAGACTCATGCTGGTAGCTTTGAGAACACTGTCCAACCATCTCGTCCTCTGTCGTCCCCTTCTCCTTGTGCCCTCCATCTTTCCCAGCATCAGGGTCTTTTCCAGGGAGTCTTCTCTTCTCATGAGGTGGCCAAAGTATTGGAGCCTCAGCTTCAGGATCTGTCCTTCCAGTGAGCACTCAGGGCTAATTGTTCCTTAATGGCCCTAAGCTTAGGTTTTTGCATAGGAATTCCTCTGCAGCTTAATTAAAACATATTTCAGGAACGACTGTCAAGCATAAAAGCATTTGACATCTGTATACAGTACTGTGCACCAGTTAGACTGTCCACCATATCCAATAAGCCTAGGATTTGCAGTTTGATGAAGAGTCCAAAATGAGACTCTCAGCCTTCCTCTTGGAGCAGGGGTGCCCAAACTTTTTTCCAAAAGGGCCAGATTTGATGAAGTGAACATGCATGAGGGCCGACCAACGCCATTGACCTTTTTTCAGGATTGAAGTTGTTGAGCTCTTTTCTACGATTTTACCTCAAAGTTGTTGGGCGCTTCTTAGGATTGAAGTTTTGAAGTTGTTGAGCTTTCTTTACAATTTTACCCCAAAGTTGTTGGGCTTTTTTTTAAGGATTGAAGTTGTTGAGCTTCTGGGGGGATTTTACCTCAGGAAAAAAATTAACTAGATTAGGACCCCGAAACAGACTTTGGACATGCCTGTCTTAGCATGAACTTCAAAGTTTATTCTGCAGTGCAGAAAGTAAGTGAAATGGCAAACCTGGGAGAAAGCAGTAGAGGAGACCACAAACAATAAAGCATTTGGTAAACCTCTGGAGTGCCTGAGGATGGCACTGTGACCCCATGTGCCTTGACTGGGCACTGATATTGGATACAACCTCAGTACAAACAGAAGCGTTGCCTCTGAGAAACAGCCTGTGGAAACAGACTGACTTCAGCTCATCTGAAGGAGCGTCTAGTTAGGACTTTCCAGGAGTCGCACCCCCCTTATATCTTCAAGTATTTTGGTGAATGTGATCACTGGGGATTTGAGTGCACCTGAGAGGTCAAGGTAAGTTGGCCACTAGATCAGGGCTTAAATTTGGTTCTTGGCTGGTGAAGGAATAAAGAGTGCCCCTGAACACGGGAAAAGCAGATCTGCTGCTTGTCTGTTGTGTTGTTGTTTTTTTAAAGAGCACAATCCCAACAACATTCAGGCTTTTGACTTGACAGGGCTGCCATACGTCTGGACTTCCCCTGGGTATTATTGGGATTTCAAAGGCGGAATTGACATCTGGGGGGGGGGGGGATTTCCAAAATGTGGCACTTTTTTCTGGATCTTAGGAAAGCCAATCGAAAAATCGCCGTTCGGGGTTTATCTAAAATAAGCTCAACAACTTTTGGGGTGATCTGGTTTTTACTTTTTGAAATATGGCAACCCTGTGTGAGATTTAGGCATGCCTGTCACTTATTCAAAGAGCCTTATTTAAGCATGATATTTGTCGGCCAAAATCACAAGATATATAACATGGACTTGGGATGTTGTAGGCAGGCACAAATACACTTGGGTTGAGGTACTCTTGAAGAACAACATTTATTTTTTTTAAAAAGACAATTACCTAAAGTTAGCAGGGGATCCAGAGAACATGCATTGATTGCTGAGACATGGGAAGAATCCACATTTAATTGTAAGTGTCATTTTTCCCCCTGAGCACCAGACCAAAGTTGAATGGGGGACAGTTACTTTTTGTTGTGTAGAATCTTTATTTTAGCTTTGAGACACAAGACCAAACAAGGCAAGGGGAGTTGGAGACTTATGAAAGGATTCCCCATGTCAGCTGGCTGTTGTTGCTTTAAAAAAATGAAATACAGCAATGGAGGGGACACACACACTTTGAATTTGATTGGGACAGCAGCCCGACCCCTTTCTCTGTGAGCCACATGCTTCATTCTAATTTCTATTTATTGAGAGTAAGTGATAAACGGTGGACTGAAGCAACTCACAAGGAAACATGATCCTAGGTACTTGTTAACTGTAGAGTGGCCAGCCAGGCAGTATTTTTACTGCTCTGCCCTGGAAAACTATGTTCTGTCAAGGAACTAGCCTTGGGATCCGAAAAGCCAGTGAAGTCCATATTCCGGGGGAGTTCGGATGATTTCTACAGGTTGAAAGAACACACAGGTGTGTGTGTGTGTGTCATGAAGCTTGTAATAAACAAAAATCTGCCCTGATTCCCTTATGGGGGACACAAGAGCCCTTATAGAGACCTTTGGAGGTTCTCCATCGGTAGGAGAAAATAACAGAGGCCAACCAGAGAATATTGAGAAGCAAAGCAGCTAGTAAACCTGATCTTTATTGAACTATTGCAACAGGGTGCTCCCCTCACACACAGGAAAGGAGGAGGACCCAGAACCAAGGTGTGCCCGCCCTTATATAGACATTTTAAATTGCCTGCCCTGGAGTCCAAGACCACCCCCAGAAACATCATACATACATCACAGAAAGGGCGGTCTACAACAGAAATCTGAGTGCGTTGTTTATCTCCTGTCTGGCAGGTTACCTGTTAATGGTCACTTGATTGGATTACCTGGGGAGCCTGGCCAGTCTTTCGTAACGATAAATACTTAGTTCCTGAGCCAGGTCACAGGCTCACCCTATTCATACACAGACATACCCTTAAGAGAGGATTTGTGAACAAAAAGACAATGGGGAGGCTTTTCCATTTTCCTTTGACCTTGCAGAGAAATATTTGAGGTCAATTTGGGAGGGAACAAAATGGTTTCAGGACTGAAACTGTGGGGTTTCAGACATGTGGTTTATATATGCAGTTATGAACAATATATATGTGTGTGTGTGTGTGTGTGTGTGTGTGTGTTGTTTGTTGTTGTTTAGTCGTTTAGTCGTGTCCGACTCTTCGTGACCCCATGGACCAGAGCACGCCAGGCACTCCTGTCTTCATACACACACACACACACACACATATATATATATATGACCTTAATTTTTATTTCAGGCTGCATCATAAAGCTAGCCCCTTTCCTCACTGTTTGTGGGTACTGGCCTGAGGGTGGGGGGAAACACATAAAATCAGACAAACGTGAAATCAGACAGACTAGTTGGACAAACAGCTCCAAGACAAGGAAGCAGTTTGAACAGTCACGTGAAACACAAAGATTACAATAAATAAAGTAGACCGTATATTTAAAGCTCGACCAGCTCACACTTAAAGCACATGACCACCCCCTCTGCCATCCCACCCCCACCCCAAGAAAAATCCTGGGAGCTATAGTTTGCTAAGGATGCTGGGGATTGTAGTTCTGTGTGAGGGAACTACAGTTCCCAGGATTCTTTGGGGGGGTGCACGGCATGCGCTTTAAATGCGCATCAGATGCAGCCACTATTGGATCGCGGCCTGTTCCAGGGTGGGTTGCGACAGGAGCAGTACCAGCATGCAGGTATATAGTAAAAGTTTAAGAAAGCGGGGTCCTGGATCTGAAAATATTGAAGCTACCTGTTTCAAATGCATGCTGTGTATCTACCCAAAGTTTTTCAGCTGGAGATTCTGGGCCTAGATAGGACCTTCCTTCCTGTGGGTTAATATGGCAGGAGGGAGCTAGTTAAATCTGCACCTGCATCAGCATGGCCTGGCAAATAGCTATTGATGCTTCTCCTAGCTGGTGGCCCTTTATTTAATTGTTTTCTCCTTGCCCATCCCTTCCTTTTTTTTTGACAGTGGCTTGTGCTTGTCCTTCTTGGCTACTGGCCCAACCATCCATCTTTCTATCTATCCAATTTAATGAGTGCTAGATAGGACTTCAAAGAGGAAACAAGTCGTTAAACAGTCCATTGTCAGGAAATGGGAAACTAATTAATAGGCCTCTTCAGGAACGCCATGAATAAGGAGATAAGCAATTAAAGTGCCGATAGCCAGGGGAAAAGGGAGCTTTGCTCAATGGGATTTATTTTGCCTCTGAGTGAACATATATTAGAATCTTGCCCACAGGGATGGGGTTTGTGGGATAAAAAAACATTCCACATTAAGAAACTTCCCAATACAGGGCTGTCTTCAAATGTATTCTAAAGGTTGCATAGTTACTTATCTCCTTGGCTCAGGGGGTTGCTTAAATCCATACCCTCCAACATTTCTCCGATGAAAATAGGGACGCCGTAAGGAAAAGTGGGTCGCGGGTGGCGCTGTGGGTTAAACCACAGAGCCTAGGACTTGCTGATCAGAAGGCCGGCGGTTTGAATCCCTGCGACGGGGTGAGCTCCCATTGCTCGGTCCCTGCTCCTGCCAACCTAGCAGTTTGAAAGCACGTCAGAGTGCAAGTAGATAAATAGGTACCGCTCTGGCGGGAAGGTAAATGGCGTTTCCGTGTGCTGCTTCGGTTCGCCAGAAGTGGCATAGTCATGCTGGCCACATGACCCGGAAGCTGTACGCCAACTCCCTCGGCCAATAAAGCGAAGATGAGTGACGCAACCCCAGAGTCGGCCACGGCTGGCCCTAATGGTCAGGGGTCCCTTTACCTTTAAGGAAAAGTGGGACATTTCGGGATCAAATTTATTGAAAACTGGGACAGCTTCTGTAAATCCGGGGCTGTCCCTGGAAACCAGGGACACTGGAGGGTCTGAGATGGGATTTCTGGAATTGTAATGAGGGATGTAAAATTATATGCATGTCCCGTGGAGCTATGGTTGAAATCCCTCTTCACGCTGCTTGCAGAAGACCAGAATGGACACACCTCTGGGGAATAGCGTAGCCCCTGAGCCCATAAGACAATCTTGACATGTGATAAGAGAGAGAGAGGGAGAAACGGCCTCGGCCCAGTATACCTGAAGGAGCGTCTCCACCCCCGTCGTTCAGCCCGGACACTGAGGTCCAGCTCCGAGGGCCTTCTGGCAGTTCCCTCATTGTGAGAAGTGAGGTTACAGGGAACCAGACAGAGGGCCTCCTCGGTAGTGGCACCCGCCCTGTGGAACATGCTCCCTTCAGATGTGAAGGAAATAAGCAGCTATCCTATCTTTAAAAGACATCTGAAGGCAGCCCTGTTCAGGGAAGTTTTTAGTATTTAACGCTGTACTGTTTTTAACACTTGATTGGGAGCTGCCCAGAGTGGCTGGGGAAACTCAGCCAGATGGGCGGGGTATAAATAATAAATTGTTATTATTATTAAATTGCAGGGTACATATTATTCTGGGGAAGGGTCAAGTCTCCCGCTCCTCGAGTGCGGAAAATGCAATCTCGGCGTTCCCTTTGTGTGAATCCCCGGGTGGCTGTACCATCGTCCGGCACTAGGAGATGGAGCTGCAGGGTTGCAGGAACCATCTGATACTTGACCAGCTGCCCAGAAGGGCGAGTGCCAAAGCCGAGAGAGGACGATGCTACCTGAAGAACCCTCCGGTCCTCAGGTTTCAGCATGACCATTTGAAGGGAACAGCAGCTGTTCTGCCAACAGGCAAGCAGCTCGGCCTGAGAGCTCCCACTCTTGGGGCAAGTCTGAGGGGAGCGGGGGGAAAAGGCCTTTTCTTTGGGATATTGCTCACTCCATTGAACAGTAAGTAGGCGGCGGAAACCCCAAACCCACCCCCAACGCTGGTGCCTGGCAGAGCTTTTGCACCTCCTTGCTCTTTCTCGCAAGAAGCGGCTTGACCTCCACCTTCTCTTTTGCGTGGCTGATTATTCCTGCCTGGCTTTTTGACTGACCCATGGAGAGTTATGTGCTATTGCTGCTGCTGCTGCTGCTGTGACACCTTTGGCTAAAGCACCGTTTGGCTGTGGCTTCCTTTTCCCCCTTTCCCCTTAAAACCAGATAACTACCAGCTTCCTTCAGCCATGTTAGAAAGTAAAAAAACATGGGTGGGTCAGGGTGGGAGACACTGCTGAGGGGAGTTGTGGGTGGGTGGGTGGTGTACACAGGGGCCATAAACAAAGCTGACAGGAGGAATGGTGTGGCCAAGATTTAAGCGGCACCAGCCTGCGAAGAAGCTGCTAATGGCTTGTGAGAGCGGCAGGGCTGTAAGGCGAGATGGGCTGGCTGACACCATCTTCTTCCAGCTCCAGGGGATGACTAGAATCTTGGCTTTCGCACCAGAAATGCGCCCAGCTCTTGCCGTCTTCAACTACCACTCTAAATATAAACCCAGGCCGCACACAGGGCTATTAGCAGTCGCCTTGTGCATGTCTGGACCTGGAAGTCTTTCTCTCTCTCTCTCTCTCTCTCTCTCTCTCCCTGCCCCGATCCTTGATAATGTGTGATTTCTTGAAAAATGGGTAGGGAAAGGCACTTTGCCTATGCTCAGAGGCACTCTTCTCTGTGCCGTTCACTTTGCACATGCTCCAGCGTTGGGTTCCGCCACCAGAAACAGTTTATGGGACTGTGAAAGTCCTCTTTTGAAAAGAATACAACGTTCTCAGAAGACGGAAATGAGTTTTCTGGCTCATGAAGAAATATTGGTTCGTTCGCACCAATATTTCCCGAATTGCTTGGCACACCTGACGTCTCGCTGTTTGCCTGTTTGCTCAAAACGCCTGAAGAGCTTAAAGTAGAATTGGTGGGCCGATTTTCCGCCGCCAACCCTCCCCTTTGGCTCATCGATGGATGAGGGATACGGTTTCGATGTGTCGCCCAAGGGCTTAGACTCGATGGTGCACTAGGCAAGGACACGCTGCATTTGAAGCTAAGAAACTGATTCCAGATCTCTCGCTGGGATCAGCAAAGTGCAGGGGCAGTAGAGAGAGAAAGGAAGGAGAAAACACGTTTGAACGCGCCTGTAATGCCAGATCTTGAGTTTGTGATGAAAAGGGCGTTTTTTTTAATTATTCACACCAGTGTTTAGCTTGGTCCCAAGGGAGAAGGTGGCCGCACATAGCTAATGCCACCCTTTATTTAGGGATTGCCACAACGAGCAGTTACTACATCACTTGTTTCAGTTATCTAGAACCATCTCCTTTTCATTCATTTCCCCCTGCTTGGGTGAATCATTTCTCTGTGTTTGGGGATAAGTGGCTGCAGCAGAGATACATTGGAGACGACTCGGGCCTTTCAGGGGACAAGGCTGTGTTTGTTGGCCCATGGGAGCTTCCTTTCAGATTTGCAAGTCTCACAAAAATAAAAGAAAGTTAGCTTCTAGGTGTGTGCAATATGTTTCCTACAACAGGTGCAATCCTTACTTTTGGAAATAAGGGGTGCCAGGGCCGAAGTCGCATCTTTCCGCCTTCTTGTCATTCTTACCTCAGTCGCTAGAGGCTCATTGAAGTTGTCTGTAGGAAGGGCACTCTGTGCGTGGTCAGAGGCACTTGTATTTTTCTTAGCACATTTTAGGGCTAAGCAGTGGCACGGGAAATTGGTTCTAAGTCCAGCAAGCCACAGGTCAGATAATGCGCAGCTCCTTATGATGTATATTTAGCGAAAGCAGCTGGAGGTACAATATATGGGCCTATTCACTGTGTGAGCTTATGTAAGGGCATATGTATGCCACTTCAGTTGGCATGGCTTTTTTCATAGATCCATGGGAACTTTAGTGTGATGAAGTGCTAAGGATGTTGTTGTTGTTATTGCTGCTGCTGCTATTATTTTATTTATAGAATTTATAAACTGCTTTTTCGCACAATCAAAGAGTTTGAAGGGACCCTGAGGGTCATCTAGCCCAACCCCCTACGATGCAGGAATCTCCACTAAATAAATCCATGACAGATGACCATCCAGCCTCTGCTTAAAAACCTCATCAGAGGTTTGAAAGCAGTTTCTAACAATAATAGGACAATATAGTGAAACAATTCAGTAGAGCGAAAACGGAAGGTAGTTAACATCAAATTTATAAAAAAAATTAGCAAGAAAACCGTGAATAATAGCCTAAAACCCCAGAGTAAACGAAACAATTCCTCCAAAAGCCTGGGAGAAAGGTGGGTTTTGACTAGATGATGCAAGGCCAACATTTCTGTCCACACCTGTAAAGGTAAAGGTAAAGGGACCCCTGACCATTAGGTCCAGTCG